GAGACGGCTCAGAGGGGATATGATTAATATGTATAAGTTCAGGAAGGGAGAATGCAGGGAGGAAGGGGACAGGCTGTTCTCACTGGTGGCCAGCGATAGGACGAGGGGTAATGGCCACAAACTGAARCAYAAGAAGTTCYRTCTCCAGRTGAGGAGCAACTTCTTTACTGTTAGGGTAACAGAGCAGTGGAACAGACTGCCCAGGGAGGTTGTGGAGTCTCCTACTCTGGAGGTCTTCAAAACCCACCCGGATGCCACCCTGTGCCACATGTTCTAGGTGTGCCTGCTTGAGCAGGAAGGTTGGACTAGATGATCTGTAGAGGTCCCTTCCAACCTTAAATATTCTGAAATATTCTGAAATAACTGAGCATGGCTCTTCCTTCCCTATGAAGCAGCTGAATACACAGTATTTTTAAAACTCTTTATCCTAAATGTCCTATCATTCTTGCTGTTACATATCCTCATTCTTACTGACATGTTCGTCACACGGCTCTGAAAGAAGTGAGATCCGTGCTAGACCTGGGAGGCATGAAGCATTTTCAGCGTCCATGATCGATTCAGAGCAGTGCTGTGGGGTGCCCAAGCATGTTCATTGGCCACCTTACATTTAGAACTAGAACTTCAGCTTCCTTAGTTCTGTCCTTAGACCCATGCAAATTTTTAGTTTTCAAGATTCCCATGCTACTTGCTAGGTGGCCACATGGTCTAATTCTCTGGGATCTGGCCCCTGTTTCCTCACCATGATCACCTGAAATAACCAGCACAATTTGGTGATTCCAAACTCTTCACCTCTTAGCAACTGCTGGATAAACCTTTACTTAGCTGCTTTGCATTTGCCTGTCCATGACTGTTGTCTGCACTAATGCTATATTTGAGAATGCTCTGTGGAGTAAAACCCTTTAAGGGTTTAGGACTCCGCAGAGAAATGGCAATTGTTTGGCTTCTTGCAGTTTTCTGCATTAAATCCTTGAAATTAGTGCCTGAAGATCAGACAGATGAATAACTAACAGACTCCCTGAGAGGCATAGGGTATTAAAAAAGTGATACTAGGCACAGTATTTTATTTCTCTTCGGGAGTCATTTTAGATTCAAGAGCTCCAAGGCATTTTTGTCACGGAAATTTCAGTGCACAGCATCATTAAACTCAGACCTCCAAGGAGAGTCTATGGAAACATCCAACAGGAAAGCATCAGCAGTCAGGAAGTAGACAAGAGGCTCAGATTTTAGACTTGCCTAACAATCTAGGAACTAGCCATAAAAGTGAAGACTCCTTTTTGGGTGACAATCTGATATACTGTTCACCCCAAGATATTGATCTGTTTTCTACTGAACATTTGGTTTATGCCTACTGTGTAATTGCATTCTGTATTCTGTATACTGAACTGGAGTTTCAGTTCCATGCTTCCCTTCAGTTCTATGCTTCCCTTTTGATTTCTTACGTGTTTAGTGTTAAATTGTGTCAGCCTTTTGGACTTAGCCTCGCTGTGTAAACCAAGTAAGAATTTACTGTTTCCTCTTGTATAGGACATGTTGTCCAAACAAGATACAATTGTTTAATAATTTAGTTTAAAATCAACAGAGACTGTTCAAAAGCAAAATGCCATTTCTAAATGTAATGTTGCATTAACTGTGGATTTAAAAAAAGAAAAGACTCATTTGGAGCCTGTGCAAACTTTTAGGCTCTTATGGTAGAGTTCTCAGTTTTATGTGAGATTTTCTCTTTGCATCTGGACCGAGAGAAACTCTTTCCTGTTGATAAAGATGTTGTCAGGGCAGCTGGCATTGGGTTTCACATGGAATTTATCACGAAAATCAAAATGCATTAAATCTACTGAGCCAACAAATCAGACTGTTAGGCTGAAGCTCAGATTGCCTTAGCACACAAGCTGTCAGCGCTTTCATGAATCACCGATGAAAAGAGCAGAGTTGTCTGCTTGCTGAATAACTCGGTAGTG